GGACATGATCATCATATTAATTATATATAATTTATTTAACCAAAATCTGACAAAAAAAGTTTATAAATTTCCACCATTTTCCCACACATGTTAAGAAAAAGTGATTCTAAGACTATATATAAGAAGGCTTGAGTATTGGACATGGTCTTCATATTATTTATACATAATTTATTTAACAAAATGCTGAGAAGAAAATCTATAAAAATCCACCATTTTCTCACACAAGCCGTTTGGCATATGCTTGGAAAAAGTGATTCCAAGACTATATAACAAATGAATTGAGTGTCGGACATGATTATCATATTAATTATACATAATTTATTTAACAAAAAGCTGATAAAAATCTAGAAATGTCCACCATTTTCTCACACAATCCGTTTGGCTTAGTGATTTTAAGACCCTATAATGAAAGGCATGTGTTGAAAATGGAACATATTATTTATTTAAAAAAGATCTGTCAAAAATGTAGAAATTTTTACGCAGGGTTATTATTTTAAATAAATAATTTAGCATACATTTCCTTTTCGTATAAGTCATAATAACGTTTTATATTATGAAAATAATGCGCAGGATATGGGTCTTCATATTATGGTTTTCATATAAAAAATATAAAATTTATTTAAAAAATATTGGTAATGAATTTAGTTAATTTTATCGACTAATTTTATACATTTTAAATGTTTATTAACTTAACGCACTTTCAAATGATTATAAAAATTCAAATATTTCATTTGATTAACTAAATAAATGTATATCACAGTACTTACCAATTATTTAGATTGAAGAAAAATAACTAATGTAATGAACACAACAACCTGTAACTTCAATTTTAACCAAGAAAATAACGCACAATAATTATTTAATCCAATAACCTGTATAATTTGAAATAATGTCACATAACATAGGAACATCAACATTTTCTAATCGACTTCAAGAACATCATTTTGATCTGTCGAAAGATTTATCGCATGGCATTCTTGATTGCCTTAATATCTTACATAAATGCAATTTAAAATGTTTTCACGAAGTGTCTATTCGATAGAATACTTGATTGTGATCATTAAATTCTAGGATAATATCTACTTTTTTCATGTTAGTAGCTGCACTTTTATTTTATACATACATTAATTTTATAAAAATTCAAAAATGGACCAACATATCTTTGTAACGAATCTGTTAATAGGGCCAAGTCTTTTCACCTCTGAGTAAAGTTGAAAGTAACTACTTGCTGATTAAACTATAGGAATATTGTTTGTTAATCTGTTAAGTAAACCTACATGTAACTTTACTCAGAGGTTAAAAGATCGACCCTTAACAGGTATTTTAAAGTTTATATTTAATAGCCCTTTGAATAAATATATAAATTTTTCTATAAAATAAACATATTGGTAATTCAGCACTAAATTCATATTAAAATTTACTATACGAATAATCACCGAACAATAAATAATAACCCTGCATAAATATTTATTTGTAAATTTTTTTGTCAGTTTTTTTTTAGATAAATAATATGCTCCATGTCCGATACTTAAGCCTTCTGTTATATCGTTTTAGAATTACTTTTTCTAAGCATACGACAAACGGCTTGCGTGAGAAAATGGTGGAAATTTCTAGTTTTTCTTGTCAGCTTTTTGTTAAATAAATTATAAAGATATAAATAATATGATGGCCATGTCCGACACTTAAGCCTTTTGTTATATATTCTTAGAATCACTTTTTCTAAGCCTATGTCAAACGGCTTGTGTGGGGAAATTGTGGCAATTTGAATACATTTTTCCAGCAACTTTCCTATGTTCTGAAAATATGAAGACCACGCTCTGCACTCAAGCCATTATTTTTTCTGGGCTCTTAAATTCATAAGTTTTTATTGCAAAAAATTTCGTTGATGGGAAAATAACTAAAAAATGGAAAAAAAATCTGTTAAATTTTCCAACCTCAAAATGGACTTATCCACTCGCGCCACTCAAGCCAATATGTTTTTCGGGCTAGTTACGATGTATGTTTTCATACTCTCGATTGGCTTGTGTGGAAAAATCGGTTAAAATATCGATTTTTCTTTACAAGATTACGCCCTTATTTCAACCCTTTAGCCACTTGCAACATTAAAGCCTTTGGTTTTTCGAGGCCTAGTTCTCTTAATTAATCATATAGTGAAAACAGCTTGCGTGAAAAAATGAGCAAAAAACACCTTTTATTTCTGTTAAGGAAAATCGAATTTTCCATATGTTATCCCCAGGGGCCACTCGTAAATTTCCTTTCAATCTACTCAAAATCGATGTACTTTTCAACCCTCTTCGAGGCTTGTATGCGAAAATGGGGCGCCTAAATCAGTCACTGTCTGACGTTCTATGTATATCCAAGTGCGAGAAACTATTAGAAGATTGGTGGACTCGTGAAAATAAAATAAACGAAATAAGTCCAATCATAATAACAATTAATGGTGATGACAGTGATGATGATGACGATTATGATATTTTGGATGATGGCAAGTTCAATTTTTTTATTTTTCATTTGAAATTCTCTACATGGAATAAATTTTTATGTTAGAAAATATTTTATTTGAGCTAAATAACCCTCTTATTATACATAGACCATATTTTCTGTGTGAAGTGTAATATAAAATTATTATTAGGTTTATAATAGCCACATTAGACTCCATTAATGAAGAAGTTTAATTCTGCTCTCAATTATACAGAAGATTCTCCATTATTATTTAATTAAAAAGTTGTACTTTATTTTTTATTTCATTTAACCAGTTGATATTTCCCCAAAGAACAGGTCAAACTTTCGGGTACTTACCTGGAAATACTCATAAAAATTTTAATCCGAAACCCGCGTAAATATTGCGAACAGACTGTAATCATGACAGATTGATGAAAAAAAGACAGGAAGATGCCGCATCGATTCCAACGTTGCTACAACAGTTAAATAAAAGGACACTCGCTGAGAGAAATATTAAAAAAAAATTTACTTTTTCTTAAATAAAAACCAAAAATAAATTATATTCAGTGCTTAATATTAATGTTATAGTTACAAGCTATTAAATTGGACTGCCTTTATTTTATTAAAATGTTTCTGGGAAAAAATAGAGTTTGCACACAGTCAAGGTTGCCAACCGTACGGTAATTATCGTACTTGTACGGTAATTTTGATTAATGTACGGTATACGGTACAAAGTCATTACCGTACATAAAAGTACGGTATTTACATAAAAAGTACGGTAAACGTACTATATTTTGAACAGAATTAGCAAAGACTTTGAGTTTTATAAAGGCCGATTCCACCGTTGTGTTAAACGAAGTTTAAATTACTAAATGAAGATTAAAATGACATTGTCTAATGTAAAAATGTCAATTTAATCTTTTTACAGCACATGTTCTTTGGACCTTTTTTTTAGAAGCCAGGTAGAAGGACCAGAGGTTAATTAAAATATGATGAGGACCTTTTTTTTTTAGAACTCGACAACTCGACAAAAATATATATACATAGTTTTTCTACAAAATAAAAGTGTGCGGTATTGGGAGGCCAACTACGGAAATTTTTAATTTCACAAAAAATTTTCAACTATGTTACTTGAAAATTTTTTGGTGATTTTTTAATATTAATTTCTCAATAAGTTCCACGGTTTACTATATATATTTTATTGTAAAAAACAAAATCTAAATATTTCAAAAACCTTATTTTTAGTTTTTTTTCTACTCCATCTAATCAATAAATAATAGTATAATTCGAGAATTGTTGTTAAGGACTTACTTTCTCGTGAGGCACTGTACAAATACTCACATTTAAAAAAAAATTCTCAAAAATTTGCAAGGTAAGGTATAGTTAAAAGTTCAGTATTAGATAAATAAGGACTTCAACTATTAGAAAAAAATTTTAATTTTAGTCATAATCTAATAACTTTTTTTTAACATTTGAGGCGAGAGGTGTGGCGAAAGGACCTCCTTAACGGAAATATTTTTATTGTTAAAATATCAAAATATTTTTTAATTTTGTCAAAAAAAAAATGAAAAAGTTTTGAAAATTGGTTGCAAATGTTAATATTACCTCGGACAAGATTCGGAACCTTAAAAAATTAACAAAAATTAAGAATACGCACCATAGCGATTTAATTTAATTTTATGTTTAAAAATCTTTATATATAGAACTAACAATACAAGAAAATAGTAATATTGGTTGCGTAATTTTTTACCAAAACACAATATTTTATAAATAATCTAGACAAAATTAGAAAAAATATTGTGACGAACTGTTGTCTTATCTAACTCGTTCATGTTGCGGGCAAGGGCACCTCCAAGACGAATTTTCGGGGGGGGGGGGGCATTGCCTTTAGACCAGCGGTTCTCAAACTTTTTTCGTGACGGAACCTTTTTGAAACGCGAAATATTTGACGAAGTCCTAACACATTTTTCTGCCTGCCTAAAAAAAGTCCTCCGAGTAAAATCCTCCTTGCTCTAGTCTGTTGCTAGGTTCCTCTTGTTTCTTTGCGGAGCCCCTACATCAAAATTCACAAAATCATATCATCCTTTCACTGACCTCTAAAAAAACGTCCTCCAACCAAAAACCAATATACCAAAAGCCAAGTCCCGTTGTAGCGGTAGGTACTACTTTTTTGTTTCTTCGCGGAGCCCCCACAAACGCTTTGCGGAGCCCCGGGGCCCCGATGCTTTAGTTATGCCCTTTTTAGCATATATTTTTTTAAAAAAGGCTCATAAATCGTAAGAAAATTCTTCTCGGAGGAAGGGGGGGCATGGCCCCTATCCCCCCCTGGAGCCACCCTTGGTTGCGGGACCTCACTCTGCTCGTTCCGCAAATAGTTACTCGTTGCATAAAATAACATTTCGTAACTGGTTTTACAAATATCTATTGTATGTCTATGTAAAATCGTTGCTGATTACTGTTGTACAACTACTCTAAAATTAGGCGTCTTGACTTGCAATCTATAAGAGGAATATTGTCCTATTTATACTTTTATGTGATCTAAATAAAATTGTATTATTGTTTTCAATAGGCTTTTTATTTCATAAAAGTCCGTAATAAAGATAAAAAAAATATATTGAAGTTTTATTTTATTCTTTAAAAAACCAATATTATCAAACCACATGAGGATTTACATCATATCGTACACGCGTTTCTAAAGTACTCAAAATGAGCATGTCTTCTAGTGGTATATTAAAGTCCAATTGCATATTTGAAAACAAATGGCCTCTATCGTGAGATGTGGGAATGACGCCAACTTCTTGTTGGACAGCCCATCTGAGCAAAATCTAAAAATTATATGGTTAAATTTGACAGAAAAAAATCTGAAAGTATATCGAATACGCTCCAAAATTAGTAAAATGGACCTAAATACATTTGTGTCTTCTGTGAATCGCTGACAAAATTAAGTTGATTTAAAGATGACTCTTTTTCTATACATAGATTCAAATCTGTGTCTTTAATAATAAGACAAAGTCAAACGAAACCTCTCATATCTTCGTAAATTTAAAATACAAATAATTTGAAAAGATCTTTTCAAATTAATTTAGTAATCAATTTTACCTGAGCAGGAGTTTTTCCCAGTTTATTGGCACACTTGGTAACGCATTCATGATTTATAAGATCTGACCATTTCGAACCACCTAGTGACGAATATGCTTGTACAAAAATATTCTTTGGTCGGCATAGGTCTAGAAGCTTCCGATCACGACAAAATGGATGAAATTCCACCTACAGTATGTGAAAAGTCTTAATGAGCAAAACGTGTATGTAAAATTATTTGAACATAAAATAAAAATTTCTATATACTGCTGGTGAAGACTAGAGAGAAGGAGGCGAATCGGCAATGGTCAAATTTCAAATTTCCGTCTTTCCTTTTATAAAGTTTGCGAAATTTACTGTAGTTGGCATGTCTAATGAAAGCGCAGTGAATTTTCTATGTAAGTCAATGTAAAATAAAGTGATTTTTAAATAAAATTGATGAAAAGAATCAAAATAATGTGAAAAAAAGTACCTGAGTACAAGTAACATGAGTGACAAAAAACATCAAAGCAAGATAAGTGTAGTTTATTTTATTATAAGTTTCTATAATATAAAATTTTACAGTTATAGATGCTGACTTACAAACTACAATTAAGTATGCAATACATTTAGCTTACAAGAAAAGAAAATTTATTTTTTATAGAGTTTTAATGTTAGATAAAGAGTTATTTTTTTTTTTTTGACCCCAATTGTGTCATTGTAAATGTTTTTTATAGGATACTAAACTTTTAAAACAGTGGCAGTATATATATCATCGTTTCTAGTGCCAATAAAGTACTTTCTAGAGATGATGCTGTTCTATACTTTTTAGAAGATATTATCAAATATTATGAGACTATTTTTACTGATGGTAGGGGAGAGTGGGGCATAGAGGACCACTTAAGGCCAAAAGTCGTCATACTCCTTTATCACTATTGATAAACATTTCACTATGTAAGATACTAGCTACAGCTATGCGGTATCTACTGATGCATATACCTGTACAAAATCTTACTTGGTATTCTATTTTAAAAAGTTTGACTGTATGTATTCGGTCCTCTCTGCCCCATACCTTGGGGCACCGCTGTGTTACTTGTATGTAAAAAAACTAAATCCGAATTTAATGATGATAAAAAAACAGATTTTATTAAAAAACGAACCACAAAATACAATAATAATGGTTTATATCTAAAATAAAACATTAATGCTCATTTTTGACAAAAATAAACGCTAGGTTCTTATCTTAATCACACTTTGCGCATAGTAACTGATCGTCATCTTCTGATGCACCTGCACACATTTGGTGGGCCCATTGAATCCACCATTCGTCAGGTTTGGACTCTAAAAATTTTCCAACACAATATATGCATTTTGGATTAATTTCATCGTCTGATTCGCTATAATCGTCATCCAGCCTCCGTTGTGTTTGAAGTTTTTTTCTCTTTTTTGGTAAACCGTGGCTATTTAGCAGACTTTTTCCTTTTCCAGAAGCCGAGAAGCATTTTCTAATAACCTGCTTACCTTTTTCAGAATTCTTTTTCAGTGATGAATTTCGGCTTCTAGAGAGTCTTTAAACGGCGTTGCTGTTAATTCTTCTGCTGTTTGAGCTTTCCGTTTGGTATTTGGTTTTCGTTTGCACTTTGGCTTGGGTGAAATTGTAGCCAATATTTTTTCAAAATCATCTCCTGATGGATCCTTGGCCGTCGACTGACCTGGTGTTGGTTCAGAAGTGTCCATTTTTCGTGATGTTGGTGGATCTTTGGTAGTCGATGGACCCGGTACTGGTTCAGACGTGTCCATTTTTCGTGAGGTTGAGGGTACTGGTAATATTAGTCCTGATTGAACAGTTTCGTCCACTGGGACCTACTCTAGGTTATTATCGAGGATGTGACTATGCTGAAGCAGTGGTTCTGCATTAAGTTGATCATTCTCTCTATTATCAAGATCTGCTGTCACTTGTGGATTCTCAGTGACCGACGAAGGAAGGAAGTCAGTATCCGAAAATACATCAGGATTTAGCGGACAACTACCTGTTACATAAAAACCCTTGATGGCCTTTTCTAGAGTGGCAACTTTTAAAAATGCTTTGCCAAAAATCTCCTTAACATCATAGATTGATATTCTTTGAGCTGGGTGATTGGAAAGCCATTCTCGCGCATATTGTCCTTTTAACGGTCCCTAAACAGTCAAGCGGCTGCATACGATGGCTTGTATGAAGAAGAAGAGAGATCATCACAATATTCAAACTACGGGCCTTTAAAATGGCATCCAGGTTGCGATGGCTGGAGTGATTATCGATTATCAACAACACTTTTCTATTTTTGGATGGACGTGCGTGTTTGGCAAAGTGTTCTAAATATTTAAGAAAGTGCTCACTATCCATCCATCCGCTACTATTTGCATATCCCACAGTTCCAGCAGGGCAACCCTTCATCAATAATTCAGACATTCTTTTTCAAGGGAAAAGCACAAACGGAGGAATGTAAGAACCTAAAGCTGATATTACACATGTTACTGTAATATTGAAACCCCTTTCTGTGCTGACTATGCGGCCTACTTATTTGCGTCCCATTTGTGCAACAATTATTCGTGGCTTAGGTACGGTATTCATGCCAGTTTCGTCAGCATTATATATTTGGTCAGCTTGAAATTTGTACTTCTTCATCACCGAGGACAACAAATCATAAAATTTAGTAACCTGCACTTTAAAACCAGCCGCTCTCGCAATACTGGTTGGTTCAGGAGCTCTTAATGATAAATTCAAATGCCTTTTTCTAAAATGATATAGCCAGTCCACACCTGCCATTTTCTTTTCTTTGCTAAAGGAATGAGCAATATTCATCTTCTCTGCTACTTAAAAAACAAATTTTCTTATATCAGTGGGCCCCAGACCATAAAATGTTGTTTATAAGTCAAGGACATGTTTAATAATTTATTGTTCTTAAATTTTAGTGAATACTTGTTTAAAGTGATCATTTCGCGGAGGCGTAACATTGTTACTTTTAATACGCCTTAGAAGACACGTTTTCGGGACACCATATTGCTTGACTGCCTTTGTGATTGATAATTCACTCCTGTTTACAGCACTGATGGCAGCTTCAACATCTTGGATAGTTCACTCTGGGACAGGCTTCTTTTTTTTTATACGTACGTACCATCTGAAATAGAAGATATAAGAATTATCTTTAGCGGGGCACGCAGGACCAAGAGGGGACACAGAGGACCAGATGTTGGTCCGCTCTGCCCCGAATACACACTTCAGACGAAGTTATAGGTTATGAAATCTACATGTAGAATTATTGGAAAATATCATGTCCTTATGAGACCTTATTAATGGGAGTTTCAAATGCATGCAACACGTAAACACATCATTACAATTTTAAATTATTTACGAGGCAATAAAAATAAATAAATATTACATCACATACCTTGAAAATCACTCTTTTGGCCACAAAACTGCACGAGTTGTTGATCATAGACTAATAGACTGATAGAAAGATGTGCGGACTTTAATATAGTGTAAAGCCGACCAGGTGGCAGCACGTATAGCAGAAATATAAACAAAGTCCTTTGTGCCCCGCCGGTCCTCTGTGCCCCGCCGGTCCTCTGTGCCCCACTCTCCCCTACTGTTAGCATAAAACTGTGAAAGCTGAAATTAAAGGATGAGGTAATACCATGTACATTCCCAAATTTCCCTTTATACTTGTATTACAACAATAAAAAATCTGTTAACTGTGTTTTATTTTACTCTTAAAACTATATAGGTATTGGTTTAATTCAAAAAAAAAATTGCCACAAAATTGTACCTTATCAAATTTCAGCAACTAAGAAACCTTTTCGAATTTGGTCATGCATACCTAATTTGTATTTTATATAGATAAAATTAAATAATTTATCAATTAAAACATGCAAGACTTATTGTCGAGGTTTTACTCGGATCGAAATACTTAAGGATTCACAGTAGAAAACGTATTTATTAACGTAAATTACAAAAATATAAATATCAAGAAAATGACAAGTTATTTGATAATCTTGACTGACTTTTCTTGAAACTATCACGGCTCGCTTGAACAGCATCCAATGTAGTGCATAGTTAGTAGACTTTCTCCAACACTTCCCCTCGAGTCGTGATTGACATTTAGCATTATCATGTTTGTATTAGACCTAATAGATTAACACAAGTAGTATGCTTTGATCTAGTTAGTCCTTTAGTAAATATATCAGCAGGCATTGAATGAGTTGATAAGTATTTTACTTGAAACTTCCTGCTTCTGATAGCTTCTCTGATGAAATGAAATCTTAAGTCTATATGCTTGTTCCTACTATGAAACATTGAGTTATCCGCAAGCTTAAGAGCACTTTGGTTATCATTGTAGATAACAATATCAGTTAGATTTTTTAGTCCCAGATCATTTAAAAAATTATAAAAATATATTGCTTCTTTTGAGGCTTCACACATTCCAATGTACTCTGCCTCTGTAGAAGACAATGAAACAGTGTTTTGTTTCCTCGAATCCCACGATATTGGACATCCAGATAAAATAAATGAATATCCTGAGAATGATCTGCGGTCATCCAGACAATTTCCCCAATCGGCGTCGACGAAGCCTTTTAAAGATTCTTGATCAGGTCCATATTAAAGCCCAAGGGTCATAGTTCCCTTCAAGTAGCGTAGGACCCGTTTTGCAGCAGTCCAGTGAATTTTACTGTAGCAGTTGCTAAACTGTCCTAAGTAACTTACAGTAAAACTTATATCTGGCCTCGTAGTTGTACTTAAATAAGTTAGAGCACCTACTAATTCTCGGTATGGATATTTTATGTCGTCGTCACAAGGTTGTTCAGTTTTCTTTAATTTTACATTGGAATCAATAGGCGTTGAGACAGGGTTTGAATCCATCATTTCAAAACGTTCAAGTAGTTCTAAAATATAACCTCTCTGATGCATAGTTATATTATTTTCCTTTTTGGAAAATTCTATTCCAAGGCAATAACCCACTTCCCCCAAGTTCTTTACTTCAAAATATCGGGAAAGTCTTTCATAGAGATTATTCATGATATTTGGATTCTTTGAGGCGATCAAAATATCATCTACATAAATTGCAATCAATGTTAATTCTTCCCCTTGATTTAAACGGTATAAACATGGATCAGAGTTCGATGGTTTAGCACCTAGTGTTACTAAAACGTTATTCAACTTGTGATACCAACTT